TATATATATATATATATATATATATATATATATATATAGAGAGAGAGAGAGAGAGAGACACACATATTATATGTAACAGCTCATTGTAAGAAGCTGTTCCATGAGATTATCAAAATAAGGAAGTTGGTGGTAATAAATTTATCCGTCATTTAAACTTAAAATTTTCAAGACTATCAACACACCAGATAATCTGACTTACAATTCCACCATTTAATACACCTATGAGAGAAATAACTCTGCTTATTAAGTATGGACAAACATTGAATTGTTCAATTGTTATCTATAATTCTTCAATTACTATTATAAAAGTGATTATTCCATAAATCTATAGGAGATTCTGTGGGTAACCTACTCACCTCTACCTGTTCTAAGCTCACAAATCGCATTGTTTCTACTTCATCGACATTAACAACAATGAGTGTGATTAATTAAATCCCACCTTCTATATTATGAGTAAAATACACAAAAACCAATGTTTTTTTGGCACAATGAAAGGTAAAATATTTATTATTACTTACAGCGGACTAATTTTGATAACACAGTTATCATCATCAGGGCTAATATTAGCCCTGATGGTGGTAACTGTGTTACCAACAATGTACCTGTACATTTTGTTTTATCTTTAAATAAAAGGATATTTACTACTGGAATGGATAGAGAAAAGGGCTCAATTTAAAAGTTTCATTTTTTAGTAAAAAGGTGATTAATACACTTCTCTAATAGTTTCTCATTCTCATCCATATTAAAAAAACACTAATTTATTACCAGTCTCTGCTTATCACTATCAAACCACAAAAATACTTTACAATTAAATTTTTCTCCAAATCAAAACTTAAAAAAAAACATTTCTGAACTTGAGAAATACATAAATGAGAAGAAAACAGTTTAGTGCACCTTGTATAACTATAACTTGTGTGCCATTTTTGGAAGAGTTAACCCAGATTAATGTTTTTTTTAGTGATTTTGCTACCTCATTAGATTTGATATGTAATTCTGTTTTTAAGTTTTTTTGTTTATGTTTAGCTATAATTTTAATATTTTAGTGGAACGTGATCCAGGAAAAAGAAGAGTTAAACCTGTGGAAAAACACTTACAGATGCTAGATTTTGGGGATCTAGATGACAGTTCTGATGACAGTGATTTTAAAATAGGAGATCATGAACAAGAAGGTATGTAGTATGTAGTACTTGACTGGAAATTTTAAAGTTCTACATTTACTCTTTTTCCTCCCCCTTTGGATGATCTTGATGTAAATAGCATCTTCCCTAATTTATTATACATACATTTACATGATTTATTAAGTAATTAAATATATTGATGTTGATTAAAGTTACAGAAATTTTAAAACTTTTTTAATAAATCGGTATTTATACTTACTATTAGAATACCACGAGACAGCCTTTTTAATATATAACAAATACATCTATGTCATTTAGTACTTTAACAATGACACAGAATTAAAATCAAACAAAAGGGTAGCTTTATAGCTTAAACAAAAAGGAAAAGAAGAAACAAAACTTCTGCAGTCTTCTTGATTTACATAACTTTCTCATTATGCATAAAATGTGTGCTTTTTACTTTTCTCCAGAAGTTTAGTTGCAAAAAAAGTAAAATCTTATTTAAAAGGGCTTTCTAAGTAACATGAATTTTGCCATTATTTGCTTTTGAAACAAAGCAGCTCCAAAATATTGTGAACACCAAGTGTGGTATCAAATTGTGGATTGAGTGCTTGTAGTATGAGTACCAGGCAACCCTGGAAAGTGGATCCTTTATTTCTCCTTGGAAGTTTTTGATAAATACTGTTCTTAGTGTTAGCAGCATGAAGCAATGAATTTAATCAGTATCTGCTTAGCTGATGCAGTTTACCTACTTCCTTTTAGTTGTAAATAATATTTTATTCTTAAAAGCATGTCACTGAGTAAAAATAAAGAAAATACCATTCCCCCATCATTTGGTTCATTTTACATAGCTCACCTCAGAATTAGGATGTCAGCCAGTGTTACTGCTGCTTCTGACTCTTTTTTTTGCATGTTATCCTTAAATGTAAACTGCTTCCCAATTCCATGTAATCTACTTGATAATATGTGTAATATTAGCAATATCATTTTCTGCATATTATTTCACTCTGAGTTGCTTCCATTTAACTCTTTTTCAGCATGGGCTCAGTTTCTTGGATCAGTCTCATAACCATTTTGTGCTTGTTATAGTTTTAATGCTATAACTTTTAAATTAGTAAGCATATGTTCACAAAATGTGGCAGATTATCAGTAAACATTACAATGTTTTCATACACAAAATACTAGATGTTTTTATTAAATCTTAAGCTTTGTTAAGCAGTGTTTTTTTCATGCCTTTTTTCTTTTAACACGTTGTCTATCCAGTATGTGAAATCCTTATAATGTCGAGATAGTTATCAAACATTTCTTATGAAAAAACTTTATATTTTTTTCTCTTATTTTCACTAACAAATATCTGTATGGGTTCGGTCAATTTGACTGGTCTCATAACCACCATAGAAAAATTAGGAAATAAGTATAAATTATGCCTTTTTCGTTCTAGAATGACTACAGATTATAACATAAAAACATAAATGTTTAGACTAAATAGGTTAAATCTCATTACATTATACTTTTATATATATATTTATTATTTTTATTATATTGACCTTTCAGCTGTGCCTGGCTAACAGTACAGAAGTTACAATGACGCGACACATGTACACTCATGTTGCTGTATCCAGTAATATAAAACTGACCTTTAGTCTTTACAAAGTGACCTGTCTTGGC